GCCATCTTTGGCTCCTAAACTTTTCACCTAACTCCTCACTAAACCCTACTTTATCCTCACTGTCTCTCTCTGCAGCGACGCCGTTACTGGAGCTGAAGTTGAGATGTCTGGAATCGAAGATGGGTTTGCAGCTGAGAGATTATATGGACAAGGATACTCTTACACTTACGACGATGTGATATTTCTACCTCACTACATCGATTTCTCAACGGACGCAGTCTCGCTATCGACGCGGCTCAGCAAGCGCGTCCCGCTCTCGATCCCATGCGTCGCTTCGCCGATGGATACTGTTTCGGAGTCTCACATGGCTGCTTCTATGGCCGCGCTTGGAGGAATCGGAATCGTTCACTATAACTGCGACATCGAAACTCAGGCTTCCTTCATTCGCCACGCCAAATCTCTCCGAGTTCCGATTGCCTCCGATTCCGTTTTCAAATGCCCAGATCATCAGATTCGTTCTGTTGATGATTTCGGTCCTTCTTCTTTCGTTTTTGTCTCCCAGACAGGTAAAATCTCACCGTCAATTTCAGAACTTTTAGCTGGATTTGTGATTGTTCATTTCATTAGTCCGGTGATTGAAGTGATTATGATTGTTGATCGGTTAATCAGGGACATTGACACCAAATTTGTTGGGTTATGTCTCGAAATCGGAGTGGTCGAGTTTGAAAGATGACCAAAAGGAGATTAAGATATACGATTACATGCGGAGTTGCGAGGACAAAGATTACTATGTGCCTTGGGATATTGATCTTGACAAGATCGAGGCGGTTTTGGAAGATAAGCAGAAAGGATTTGTGGTTCTAGAGAAGGATGGTGAGACTGTGAACGTAGTAACAAAAGACGATGTGGAGAGGGTTAAAGGATATCCCAAGTTGGGGTCAGGAACTGTTGGTCCGGACAAGAAATGGATGGTGGGTGCAGCCATAGGGACAAGGGAATCAGACAAGGAGAGGCTAGAGCACTTGGTGAAAGCTGGAGCTAATGTTGTGGTGTTGGATAGCTCGCAAGGGAACTCCATTTACCAGCTTGAGATGATCAAATATGTGAAGAAGTCGTATCCAGAGTTGGATGTGATCGGTGGGAATGTAGTGACTATGTACCAGGCAGAGAACTTGATCCAAGCAGGAGTTGATGGGTTGAGAGTTGGTATGGGATCTGGATCTATATGCACAACACAAGAGGTGTGTGCCGTTGGAAGAGGACAGGTAAATGAAAAAGCTTTCGTATTTGACATATAGTGCTAAGTTCATTCTATGAACTACGTCTTATAAAGTTAGTTTTTTTAATGTGATTTGTTGTACTCTCTTAGGCTACTGCTGTGTACAAAGTCTCCACGCTTGCTGCTCAGCACGGTGTACCAGTTATCGCAGATGGTGGTATCTCAAACTCAGGTCACATTGTGAAAGCTCTAGTCCTTGGAGCATCGACTGTGATGATGGGTAGCTTCTTAGCTGGAAGCACGGAGGCTCCTGGAGCTTACGAATATCAAGTAATTGCACACATCTTCCTACTTTGAATATTGATTCTAACCAACTTCCATGATATTTGCCTCAATTATTTTGCTTCGTTTGGTCTGTTTTTGTGTGAATTATAGAATGGTAGGAGAGTGAAGAAATACCGAGGTATGGGTTCATTAGAAGCAATGACTAAAGGAAGCGACCAGAGATACTTGGGAGATACTGCGAAACTCAAGATTGCACAAGGAGTGGTTGGAGCAGTTGCGGATAAAGGCTCCGTATTGAAGTTTATACCTTACACAATGCATGCCGTAAAGCAAGGTTTCCAAGATCTCGGTGCTTCCTCTTTGGAGTCCGCTCACAAGCTATTGAGAGATAACACCCTCAGACTCGAGGTACCTGTTATTTTTACTCCTTGGAAACCTTTCTTAAACTGCGAGTCTCGCCATTTTGATGTTAATGTTTGCGTTTTATGGTTTTGATGTTGCGAATAGGCTCGTACGGGTGCAGCGCAGATTGAAGGTGGAATCCATGGACTGGTTTCTTACGAAAAGAAATCGTTTTAGCTTTCCTGACTAATGTCAACTCTGTTCTCACTTGTTTTAAGTATTGGTGTAATCTTGTAATAATTGAATCGTGTTTGTAATGCTGTCATCAACCAATTCGGATTATGGCAGAAATAAAGTCGATTTTCTGTTGTCTCTCTTACTTCACTAACAAAAGCTGTTGGATGACACAAAGCAAGCAAACAAACGGTCAAAGCCATTTAACACTTCAGTTTGGAAAAATTATGTAAAAACAAGAAAAGTTGAATAAGTATCTCTCGTAGCGATTTTAGTCTAAACAAAACAGAAAAGTTGATAAGTTTATTTACCAATATAGGAGAAGTATGTGACTAGGTCCAACAATAGAGTTATAGAGGGAACCAAAAAAAGCCTGAGAGAAACTCAATCATCGTCCACCTCCGGCACTTCTGTTCCATGACAAGTACGATGGATCTCCCAGTCGCCTGAAACCCGAAAATAAACCATATTCATTTGCAGCATACAGTATATAGTTATAGACTCTTATAGACTAGCATCATCCAGCGAAAACAAATGAAGCATTGTAGATAATGTTATATACCTTGGTTTTACTAGATACAAGACGGAGAAGAAAACAGCCAAGAATAAGCATATGCTACCAACAGTCAAATACGCAATCCCGAGGAAATCATTCCTCCCACCGAGCCAGCTAGTGGTAGATAGCACAAGCTTCTTCTTTCCATTGAAACTATAAGTGTTGTAATTGTTTTGCAACAAGACCTCTATAGTATCTCCAACTTCAAGATCAGTTTCTATTTTACCATACAGCTTTCTAAATGTTGGTAGAGCCGCGGTTCGCATCCACACTATTAGGCCTTCTTGCTCACTCAACTGCCAAAGAAAAACAAAAAATTAATGTTTATGTATGTCATTAGTTTCCATGACCAAAGAAAATAATGC